CAGCGACGTCTTCCATTAGTTCAGTCAACAATGGCGCAGCGCAGAGCTCTAATCTTGGTACTGACAGTTGTTTTAGCGGCGCTACTTTTGTTCGCGATGCAATCAGTGTGACGTGAACAACATCATCTTCATCCACCACTCTAAGGTACGTTACTGCCGCATATGCGAGTGTTGACGCGTCTGAGAACCCATATAACTCTACTTTCTTTCAGGTGAGGTGTGTATGCAGCCATCGAGGGACTACAATTGATTGCACGTAAGTCAAAGTCATTCTATAACTAATCCACTTTTCTATTATGTTTTTAGGTAGTTCATCATCCCAGTTTAGGTTGCAGAGCCACAACTCTTGGATCAGGATCTTAGCTGTGATGACTACTGGAGAAAGCCATCCGAATGGATCAAATAAGCGGGCAACATCTGACAATATGCTCCGTTTTGTAACAGGTTGCTTCATAACAGGTAAGTTTACAATTATTTTAAACGTGTCATCTATTCTGTCCCATGTAAGTCCTAAAATTCTTATAATTTTATCCATTTTAATCTCTATTTTGTCTCTGTTCTCTCTCTTCTTTGTTGTTGTTCCTAGATGTTGGTTTTCTTCTTCTTCGTTTATATATTGTAGCAATTCATTTGAATTAGTTGACCATTTTTGCATTTGAAATCCACCTCTTTTCAGTACAGTGTTTACGTCTCGATAAACAGCTTTGGCTTGCAGGAGATTATCATGTCCGGTCATAAGATCATCCATGTAAAAACAGGTTTTTATTACAGTTTCGGCTTGGGGATATTCATGTGCTTCGTCTTCAGCCAGTTTGATTAAAGTTCTAACCGCCAGGTAAGGTGCAGCTGCTGTCCCAAATGTTACAGTTTGTAGTTTGTAAGATTGAATTTCATCATCTTTATTGTTTCTCCAAAGTATACATTGCAATTTATTGTGTTCTTCTGTTACTTCTACCATCCTATACATTTTTATTATGTCTCCAACCAAACAAATTTTGTGTTTTCTCCAAGCTGTTATGATGCTGCGCAAATCTTGCTGTAAAACTGGACCAGTCATCATCATATCGTTCAAAGAAACCACCTTAGATCCCTTTGCTGAAGCATCATAGACAACGCGTACTTTGGTTGTATCTTTATCTTCTCTGACAACCGCATGGTGAGGAAGGTAAGTACATTTTTCTTCTATATCTTCATTTTTTGTCATGTGATTCATATCTAAGTACTCCTTGATTACTTTGGCATACTCTAGTTTCAGTTGTGTATTTTTCTCAACTCTCCTTTCTAAATGTTTGAATCTTGTTAGAGCAGTTTGTTTTGTATCTCCTATTTGTTGTATTGTATCTTCTATACTTTGTTTGAGGGGTAAGTGTACTACGTATTTTCCGTCTTCCTTTCTTTTTGTTGTATTGTTGTAAATTGTTTCACACTCTTCTTCTTCTATTGTTAAAATCTTCTTCTTTGTGTAGCTTGTTGTTTCTATTTCCCAAAATTTTCGTAGCATGTCATTGTTTTCTTGTACAAATAGGCTTGTAACAGTTGTTTGTTTTTCAGGTTTGCCTTCGATGTGTCCTGAAAGAACCCATCCGAGAGCTGTATTTTGAGCTATTTTGAGCCATTTTGAAGTCGTAATAATCCTTCTTCTATAATTTTGCAATATACATCGGCCCCCAGCAATATATCTACCTTGTTAGGTTCACAACATGTAGGATCAGCTAGTGTTATGTCCTTTATTACTTTCCAGTTTATTTTCATTTTCTTAGATGGTAGATTTGATGAAATAGACCTCATGACGTGGGCGCGTATCTTCATAGAAGCGTTGGATTTTGTTTTGATCAGCAATTGTACATTATATTTGATTGTAATATGATCTTCTCCTATGCCCGATACTGTACAATTACTTCTACTCTTCTTCAATTTTAACAAGTCCACTACCCTTGATGTAACAAATGAGGCTTCGGAACCTGGATCTATTAAAGCACGGAAGACGTGTGACACTCCGGAACTTGAAATGACGTCAACCAAAGCTGTAGCCAATAAAACTTGTTTTGTCTCCTGACGTGAGCAGTGAGCAATGACATTTGTTTCTGTTTTCTTTTCCTCATTTGCTGTAGTTGGTTGTGCTGCTATATCGCTCTCCTTTTGTGTGGAATCTTCATGTAGAAGGGAATGATGTCTTCTTTTACATATTCTACAAGACGTCTTTTGTTTGCATCGAAATACACTGTGGTTAGGTATGAGACAGTTAAAACACATGTTGTTATTCCGTACGAAGTAATGTCTATCTTTCACTGGTTGTCTCGCAAAATCTTTACAGTTAAAGATGTAGTGCTGTCCTTTACAATACTTGCACTGGTTATTTTTGTTCTCTTCGGTTTCTGTTAGTGAATAAAAAGATTTGGGATTGTAAGATTTTTCTTTAGTTTGCGTTTGAGGAGATTGGTGAACAAGTTCTAAGGTATGAAACTTGGACTCCATAAAACTTCTTAATTGCTCCCATGTTGGTAGATTCTCAGTCTTCTCACAAATTGAACTTTCTTCCCAATCTTTGTGTGTTTGTGCATCTAGTTTTTGTACTACCAAGAATACTATCAGAGGGTCCCAAGAATCAATGCAAATACCTTGATTTTTCAAGCTGTTTAAACATTCTGTAGTTGTATCCATTAATGTTTTTATATGCGTAGCCGTCTGGTTAAGAATCTTCTTTTGGTTAAAAAGTCTTTTTAGTAGCGATGTTGTTATAAGTTTCTTGTTTCCGTAACGTCCCTTTAAAAGGTTCCAAGCTTGAGTATAGTTAGCACTGGTTGTCTGTATATGCCTCAATAATATCTCTGCCTCCCCCGTAACAGTTGTTTTTAAATAGTGTAACTTTTGAACACTCGACAATGTACTATTGTTGTGTACTAATGTTGTAAACAAGTCTTCATATGTAGGAAATTCTTCACAGCGGCCGGAAAACGTTGGCAACTTAATAGTAGGGAGTTTGACACACGTCGACGTTTCACAGGTTGTGTTTGATGATTCGCCACCACTAAATTGTTGACTCGTTTTCACCTCTAATTTGTTCAATGTGTCCATCAATTCAGCCTTAATATAAAGGTACATGTCCTCATATATGAAAAATTCTTCATTTGCAAAGTAGGGTATGTTTATGCGCATTTCTCGAGGTGTACATTTCACTAAAGCTTCGTGGGCGCCCATAAAACTTTGCCAATGTTCTTCAACGCCTTGTAAACGCGCTTTAAGATATCCCGTAGTGAGCCTTGTCTTCGGACATTTCTTTAAATTTGTTTGAGTTTTTTGCAAAACTAATGCCTTCTCTTCCAACACACGTAAATATCCATCTTGTTCCGGGGATGTAGACATATCGCAATCTTATTAAAACTTTACGATGCAATGTGTTGTAAATTGTGTTAAAGATTCACTATAACGTTGTAATATTCGACGTAATGCACCGTGCAACTATCTATAACACTTGTTTACTTCGTAGGTGACCGATTCACGCAGGTAAGCGAGTCTTTTGTTCTCGCAAATCTTGGGTCGGACGATCGAGCGTTGCGCCAATTCAAAAGGTCTTAAGTATCCGGCTCTGAATAGGCCATATGTTCGGGCTGTTAAGGTGTGTTTTAGCTTGACTGTCGCGGAGCAAATAAAAATACGTCTTGTTTGTGGAATGATCTATTAGCAACTAACTTTACATTTGTGATTGACCCGTATTGTGTTAGAAACTACGCGCATAGCTATATGTATTTAAAACGATTGGACAGAAAGAAAGTAAAAGTTTTAAAGAAAGTATAAAAGATGGATGTGCAGTCGTGAAACTCTGTCAAGGTTAAGATTTTATGCGCATAAATATTTATGCACACACTAGACTGCTCGCTCCCGGCGTCACAAAGCCAGATATGAGTTACTTTCTACTTTCATGTCATTATCAGTAATTAAAGAAAAACACATATATAACATAATAATAGTCTTTCTTATGACTTGGTCCACAAATGTTAAAAATTTCATACTAAGAAACTAGAGAGAAATTGAATCAAGGCTAATGAAGCTATTTTTCTGGATTGGTTTCTGTTCTTTTACGGCCGGCTTTAATATTCTACTAAGATATAGATTTCGTTACTAGAGTAACCAAATCTATCTAAAGATAGAAACGGGTCGTTAAAGAATAAAGTTATAACATGTAAACAAATGGACAAACTGACAGATATTACCCATTTGTAACATTGGTATAGATTCAGACTGAAAATCTTATCAATGTTAATATGCCATTGTGATTTCACGGCGTTTCACGGTAATCAATAAGGTTTTTTATCCGGGATGACTAAGTCCCACGACGCCCACACATACTTATATCGATCACAAATACCAAGAAAAAAAACACCGAATAACTAATAATTATTCTTATTGCAAAAAATCGAGTCATTCTTACTTGCTTGTTACTGGGATTCGAACCCGCGAAACTATTGCACTTAGATATTGAAAACGGGGTGCTTTGTTTAGAATGTAAACGTTAATTAGCACCTAACTCCATTCTTTGGACTCGACACTCTCACCTCACTCACCCCACTTAAATAGTAAATGGTTGAATAAATTCCCGAGGTAAAGGCTTCCGCTACAAGGAACTCTACGCCATCTGATTTTTGAGGGGGCTATAGGCCATCTTAATTACGAAAGAGCCAACGCCACTAAAACGTTTTTTTTTCCATTAAAAACTGACCAGCGCTTGATGCACCACGTGATGATAAGTGGTGATGCAACCGTTGATGGTGAATGCGCTAGATAAGCAAAGACTTTTTCAACTCTACGTTGTAACCGGACGGAAAGACGCCGGCTGGTTGTTCCATTCCTTAACTGTGCGGATGATGAAGGGCGAAGCGAATCGATGTCACCACCAAGTGCATCGTCAGCTTGTATCTCCTGCTGTCACGCTATCCTGACCCCCCCCCCCTCCCCCCGTCCTACCGCTCCCCGCGAGGAGCAAGCCGCCGCGCAATACTCACATCTCCTTGCCGCGCTTCACGCTCGATGACAGCAGCGCGTGGTGCAGCGGGTGGGCGTGGTGCGCGTGCGGCCACCGCGGGCCCTCGGCGGGGGACAGGGGCCCCGTGCCGGGGGAGCTGCACCGCCCCGAGCCCACCTGGCGGCAGTCGGGAATCACGATCACGTCAACGGCTAATGCGTGCGTTCACGCGGGAACCGCGCGTTGACATCAATTGAACGTGCAAAACGAAAGGGGATGAATGCCCCACTCGGCAATTTGCGGAACAGCAGTAGAGGGTACTGCGTGTCTATTGCCCGGTTTCTGAAACACCGATCAACGAAGATGTCAACTAATCATCTGTCAATTGGCTTTTCTTTGAATTGATCATTCTGATCATTAAGAAGATCATGATGGTCAATTTAGGGAGTTTAACCACCCTTTTGGCAACTAAAATGAAATTTGAAAAGCCATTTGATAGCTGATTAGCTGACATCTACGATGATCAGTGTTTCAGAAGCCGGGCGTATGTGTTTCACGTTCTAATTAAGAGACACGCCGTTTTTTTTTTAATTTGAAAAGTTGGCAATCATCTAAATTAGAGTGACTACCGCCGCCCATGGAGGTCTACAATACCTAAGGGATTGAGAGTGCATTGCCAACGTTAAAACATTGGACCCCGTTATCTCACTGATCAGTCACCCATTCGTACATTAGCAGAATCGGCTTCGAGGTACTTCCACAGTTATAGTCGCGCTAAATACAATAGTTCTATGTGCATGTGTGTATATCCTTTCCATGAGTAAAAGCCGAAAACGTTGTGTGCAATTCACAATGCCAGTGACAGAGTCAGCTATGATATAAATACGTCGGTAGGGCCACACAGCAGCCTCGACTGTTGCACGAATGGGCAGGATCGTCCGGGTAAGTACCACGACCTCACCGAAGACCGGCGTAAAGTGGATGTATAATACTTGTCGCGTTTCGTCCAGTGAGTGAGGTAGCCGGAGCCCAATTTTCAAAAGGTTGTAAGCGCATGCAAACCCTTGGGTGTAGCAGATGTCCATGGGTCCATGACGCGAGGGCTCGTCGTGTGATCAAAGTGCTAAACATTCTGAACGGAAATATCCAGACCCGCATTATTTACTTTGAATGACTATAACCTATCAACAATAGCTTTTTTTAATCATTTAAATTATTTACTCCGCCATTTCAGACGATTCGCGAGCCGCATTCATTACGACGACTTTCTGATATAAATGTATACAGTAATCAATGTTTCTGCTTAGACTGACGCGGAGCACTTTATCTTCCGAGTACTTGAAGATAAGACAAGACAAATACTTTTACTACGCGGAAACAACAATTTACATGTATGTTACGCCATAAGTTTCCTGAAATCGAACCCAGCGCTTAAAAATATGACTCGTCAACTGACTGACGAAAATATTTTTTTTTCCCTAGCTAATAACACAGTGACGTCGGTGACCATATCGTATTTTGAGGTAAATAATCCAACAATCATCCATTTTAACCTTGAATATTTCATCTTCAGTGCTTTAGAACTTTATATAATAATATAAAATTTAAAATTAATTTTTTTTTTCACCTGCATCCGTGATTTCAAACTATCGAAGCATTACTTGTTTCAGTTTCCATTCAATATAAATTTATGCAAGGTAGCAGAATAACTACATAGGAATATGTAAAGTAAAACAAGTTCTTTGCAAAGGATAAATTTATGTGATCTTACCCATTGTTTATAACTATAATTAAGAATAAAACCGTTTAAAAACTTTAAAGTTAAACGGTTTTAATCATCTAAATTAAATGTGTGTACCAAATTTCAGATCAATCTGACAACGGGAAGGTGCTTAAATTTCAATTTCTAATTTTGACCCAAATAAACAAACAAATTCCGTACGGGTCGAGCTAAATAAAACCGTTTAAAAACATCCAATGTTACATTAAAATCAGAATACTTTTAAAGACAATATCACGCGTCGCGTTATAATAGTTTCGATTGTGATGCGTCACGAATAGAAATTCAATTACGCATAATTCCTCCATAGTATGTATACATTCGTTTTGTTTTCCTATATACATAATACGTATATTAACACGACCGAACGCACGAATGGTGTATAAAAAATTCGTCCGCCCCAGCGGAACCTGTCTCGATATCGTTCGCGTTTTTTTTTTTTTTCTATATGAGCTGGTGGCAAGCGAGCTAGCGGTTCACTCGATATTAAATGATAACCGCCACCCGTGAACATTTGCAACACCCGTACGGTTGCAAACGCGTTGCCACCTTATAATAAAACAGGCCCCGATTAACTCACTCACCGGGCGAAACGCAGAAGTATTACACTTGCACTTAACGCCGGTCTTCTGTGAGGTCGTGGCACTTACCCGGACGGAGCTGCCCATTCGAGCAGTCGAAGACTGTTGCGTGGCCCTACTACGGTTAAAGCAATATTATCATAGTGAGAATGCATAATCTTAATAGCGGCGACAATTAAGTTAATGAGTTCGATGTGCCTGTAACATCTCTGACTCGTTTTCTAGTACGTTAGCAAAACAATGTATGAGGAGATTACATTTAAGTAGTACAGTAAAAGTACAGTAACAGCCCATACATATCCCAATGCTGGGCAAAGGTCTCATCTTTAACAGAGGGTTTCAGGGCATAGTCCACCACGCGACCTCAGTGCGGATTGGCGAACTGTTACGTCTGCCATAGCGTAACAGTTGCAGACGTGTCGAGTTTGTCAGCAGAGTAGTTACAACAACATATAATCCAAACGTCAGCTTTATCATTTGTTCATTTACATTTGGCAATTTTCGCCGTTTAAATCTATTTTATGTAAACACTAAGAGGCCCACCACGAATATTTTCTACAAAAGAAAGCTCATTTTAAGTTACCCCTAATATAATAGCGTACTAGCTGCCCTTCGTTCTTATAGTATTAAAACCTTCCATGAAGCTTAAGGAACATACAAAAAAAATAAATTAGCCAAATTGGTCCAGCCATTCTTGAGTTATGCGCTTACCAACTTTCAGTTTTATTTATTACTAGCGACCCGCCCCGGCTTCGCACGGGTGCAATGCATTATAAATATAAACCTTCCTCTTGAATCACTCTATCTAGTAAAAAAACCGCATCAAGATCCGTTGCGTAGTTTTAAAGATCTAAGCATACATATAGGGACAGACTGCGGGACGACTTTGTTTTATACTATGTGGTGATAGTGAAGAAGAAGATTACACTTACACGCTAGGCCGGATTAAAGACACGCGCTCTCGTATTACACAATTACGGCGTGCACTTTCCAGTCTAAAAACAATGAACACGTAGCGGGGATTGAGCGAACTCTACGCAGAACCGGACATCTAACCACGCTGCGCCCAACTCGTCCTCGTGTAATGGGGTCGGTAAGCGCGCGCTCTCTCAAGAATTCAGAGCTCCGTATTCGCGAAATAAGACCCCGCTCCATAACATGTACCCTGATACCCTCTGTACAGAGGAGTTATTATTTTATGTGAGAAGATGGCAGGCCAGCACCAACTAATGCAACTGTTTTTAGTGCCGTGTTAGGTACACGCAACAGTCCTCGCTGTTGCATGAATAAGCAAGTCCGTCCAGATAAGTAGAACGATCTCACAGAAAACCGGCGTGAAGTGGAAACTTTATACTTCTGCGTTTCGTCTGATGAGTGAGGTGGCAACGCATCTGCATCTAACGCATCTGTATCTACGGGTGTTGCAAATACCAATGGGCGGCGGTAAGCCGGTAACTTCTCACATAAAAAACAACCTATAGAAGGCATTTTCCCCCATGTAAAAAAATGTTTGAAAACATCGAGTTCCTTGTGTATATAAAATAAAAATACATCGCTCTTCACTCGGCCGTATTCCCGGCTCCCGCACATTGCAGTCACAGTTCCTATTCAAGAATTGACAATGTTGCAAAGTACCCAATAGCGCCTGCACTAGACTTTTACGGCTACATGAAAGCGGCACCAAACCGTGTGACGCATTAGCGGTACGAACGAAATCTACGGGCGTTTAAACAAATGTTCTGCCGAGTCCATGACTAGGGATGCACCCTTATTTTCGACCGGTTTACCAAATAGACTGGTAAACTTTTAAGCTCTTTTTATTATAGGACATCCACAACACTAGTCTGGTCGCAGTTGCGTTTGCAACACTAGAAGGAATGAGCCACGTTTAACTCATTTATGCGAAGACAAGCGATTGCATAAATACTTCTAATTTGCACGGACATTCTATAAAAGTAGAGTTTTAAACACAAAGGGTAATCTCTTATTGACGTAAACTTAGTGGCTAGAGCATCTGGACGCGCAATCCGGTAGGCGGTAATTCGAGCAGTTTCATCTACACATTTTAAAATTACACTTAAATTTATTTTGATCAAAACTCTTTTAAACAGTTGTACTAAAGGAACACGAGGAAAATTCGACTAAATCTATTAACATTAAACGAAACATTTATTTATTCTTTATTGAAAACACCTCAAAAGGGTTACAAAGGGCGGACTTAATGCCTATTGGCATTCTCTACCAGTCAACCCGGGGCGTGAGGAAAAATCGTGGTAGGTGCAATAAATGAAATTGCATAATAAATTTATGTGTCTTAAATAATAATATATGCATTACACATCATATACAATACAAAGAAATAAACATATACACATATATATATATATATATATATATATATATATATATATAATGTGTATATGTTTTACTTGAATTTATGGCAACACATGTATTGTAATGCCTTTAAAGGTACACCACTCTCATAAACTTCCTTTTATTATGAATATCAACGTGATGGATGGCGCGATACGTCATTACCCAAGCGGTCGCTACCTGCTCGATTAACCTGACTTCGAATCCCAATACCGACATCATTTGTATGTATGTTGATTATTGAAGCATGTAGAGTACATGTTTTTGGCAAACATTATGTAGTTAAGTTAAATAAACCAAAGTTAATAAGTTGCTCTTATAATTATTGTTCTATTTACTATTCTATGCACCAAATAAAATTAAATGAGATAAAATTAAATTAAGTAAAAAAATAAAAAAGCACACGAACATGGGTAATTTCCGACAGGTATGGTGGCCGCACG